GATACAATGGTTTAAATAATTTGATTTAATGTTCTTTATAATTTTTTATGCTACCATCAATATCAGCACAACTATGTCTTTTATTGTAAAAACCTGGATGGGTGAATTCATCTTAACAAATCAAAGACAATGTCTCCTTCTGTATTCATCTAATTTGTGGGAATCATGTCAACAGTTATAACAATGAATTTTCTACTATATGTTGACAACCTAAAGTTTTAAATCAAAAAGGTTAATATTATATTTTTATATTCTCTCTTTTTTATAAGAAATAAAATCATTAACCTAAAACTCCATACCAAAAGTAAAAGCATCCAAGACATTCAACATGATGGCTTTTTGTTTTTTATAATTGAAATATTCACACTAGGGAATGATTCCGAAATAAAATTCCCTGACATATCTATAGATTCTGAAGATGATGTCAATTCATTATTCTTAGTATTAGGTTGATGTCAGTGATATGGACTATATGCCTTGAAAAAAAAAATTTTTCCCTCTTCTTTTGTTTTAATTATTACTCTAAGAACTGATGAAGATATATTTTGAAAATATATACAAACTAAATCTCTGTAATCTTCATTAAAAGATATTTCCATATTTTTAAAAAAAATGTTCAAACAAGTATACTTGTCCAAAGTATAGTCCAATCCCAAATCCCAAATAGTAAGGCCCTAGATCTTTGAAATTTCAAGAATAAACAAACAATTATAAAACACATGATGTTACTGTGTAACAAAACATTTGGGTAAAAATTCATAAAACACGTGACTTTTGTGTGCAGCAACTTTCTCTGCTAGTCATTTCAAACCATTAGCAAGTGGGAAAGAGTAGAAGTGAGAAAACATCTTCTATTTTATAGGATAAATAACTTTTTTTGTCCGAAATTACCAACATTGTGTCAAGTTCAAATAATGTTGTCATCATAAATAACTATTGTAAAGAATCAACTAAATATTCTTTTGTTTTATCTGTTATCCAGCCCAATCAGAAGCCATATTTTAGATTAATAAAAAAATTCAACTACAAACTATATAGTACAAATTTGATAGGAAAATATTAATTCGTGATTCTTTTAAAAATGAGTGATCTGCATTGATTTTAAATAAGGATCGGTGGGGATAATTACAAAAACATATATATCTCAATAATCTTCAACCAATTTTTTAAAAATTAAACCAACCCTTATTAAAAGTAAAATTTAATTTCATTAGGTTCAATCATTCCTCATTTACATTATGGACCAAATTTACAGCACTGGTGGTCCCTACATAATGAAAAAAACTTGGAGGATGGTGTCTTATTATACCCTATACGTGTTGGATGGCAAACAGTTTTAGAAACAAATAATAAACACTTTTACACTCAAGTCCAAGAGGGAATGAAAATTATGAAAATTGACCTGGTTATAAGTGTCATATTGATGCAAAATATAGTGGTGTTGAAGAAAAGCCAAGTCCAGCAGTTACTTCTTTGTATAGATGAGTTTTTCCAGCAAGTAATACAAATTATTCTGGACCGCAAGTACTGGTATGGACTAATTCCGAACTACTAGAACAATCATTGACAGGGATTGAGTTTTGGCCATTTTTGATAAAAATTGACAGATATAATATATATGTTACTGCTTTAGGATGTCCAGATGAAATTAGCAATTTTGGAGCTGGGATTGGGTATTCAGCAACATTTTTTGGTGAATATTTAGGTAAAGGGGCAACATATGTTCAAAGAATTGATGTAGATGGATGCCATATTGAAATTTTTCAAGACAATGAATTAAAAAAGGAGTATTTAGGAACATCCCCAAATGATGTTTGGATCAAATCAAAAGAATTAAAAAAATTTCAAGGAACTCAATTTTTTGGACTGGAACATTTATTAACAGAGAAAATTTTGGCAGAGTTCAAAATCCCAAAATGTGATGCAAGGTTTTGGGAAAATATAAATATCATGAACCACCTTTATAATTACCATCTTCGACACCAAACTAAATCTAACATCCAATGGCACCAGTTTTTCATAAGATGGAAAAATAATTCAAGCACAATAATAGAATTTAATTCTCTTTAGCAGAACTTTACCCATCAGGATATACTTTCAAAGAACGTGAACTTAGAGCATGGAGAGCAATGCTTAAAGCAGCTGGTTGCCATAATGTAACTCCATTTGAAGATGATGAATCTAAGGTAATTTGATGAAGATAAATTTAAATTCAATTTTTATTTAAATTAATAAATTTGAAAAAAAAAAAATATAGTATCAATTTTGGAGTTGTTCACTAAATACATTACAAGATCAACAAACACTTTCTCAGTTGTATTCTCAGGGGTTTCTATCACCAACACCAATACATAAAAAAACTCCAATAGATGAAGAGCATATAAGCAAAAAATTTTGGGAATGTTTTGGAGAAGCACTAAATGAAAATAAAAAGGGGCAAGATGGTTGTATTCATGTGCTGTCAATAATTGCCAACAAATTTACCTACACTGAATTGCAAGAAAAGCTTTTTGTAAGTAAATTGTCACATCATTAAAATTTTTGAAATTGTATTTATATTATTTACTTTTAATAATAATTAAAAAAAATACTTATGTTTTATGAAGCTTTCGGCAAACAGTGTGACCAGTGCCAGATTGTATGCTAAAACCAATGGCCCTGGTTGCCTTGAATTAGGCAAATCTGCAATCACTAAAGTAAAACTGTCAAAAGAATCACTGGATCAATTTATGACATTTTTACTTGATAAAAATAATACAACACCAAGTTCATATAAGGTAAATGAAGCAAGTGGCCTACCTGTAATGTATTTAAAAAAACAATAAAGCATCATTATGGCAGCGTTTTTTTGAATTATACCCAGATGGTATGAAAAGGACA